TTCACCATGTGCCTCGAGAAGGCCGACATGCAGTCCTGCTCGTACTATCTCGAGCAGCTCAAGGCCGTGCGTTACTGTCCGCTGCGTTCACAACAACTTATTCACTCTGCTCTCAGTGTCAGGCTGCCGCCCGCCCTTACTAGATCTTTTTGTTGGCATGTTATTGGGGTGAAATAAAAATGAATCTGCTCGACAGTGCATTGGATGAGAATTGAGGAAACGTGGTTCTGCGACGCGTCAATTCGGCGTGACCTAGTAAGCCACATTACTAATGTCTACGTCCCCGTTTCACGGGCTCTTGCTCATCCGGAACACCAAAAGCGGCAAAGGAAGCCACAGTTTCGGTGTATTGAGAGGGCGGGGTGAAGCACAATGCTTCATGAAGGACGGGACTGGATATACACGGTGGACTCCGAGGCAGTACGCTGCGATACTGCTCTTCAATAGTCGGCTTCCGTGAGAGACGTCCATCGGCAGATTGCCCTTTGCGCTTCCGCCCTCGGCTGCGGGACGGCCCATCCGGGCTCGCAGCCCGCCGGAGCGGTTGCGTGTACTTGACTGGACTTGGCATTGGCTTTTCGGGACTGCGGCTGCGGGCAACGCGTCGCGGCACACGGGTGTACTTATCTTCCTCTACACTGGGCCACGCGAAATTCTGTTCCTTGAATGGGGTCGGCGCGGGTGACTCGGACAGAATGCGGAACCCCATGGCCGTACTAACAGTGGATGCAGCACGAGAAAGCGAAGCAGTCGCCATGGACGTCGCTCGAGAGAGAGAGACTTGGTTGTCGGGGATGCGTATGTCGGAATCATGTCGACCGTGAGACTGCCAGGCACGGCGTTTGACGCGATCCTTCGAACCAGAGCCAGCACGTTCGCTATCTTCATCACGCAGACGCTCTAGGATGCCTCGTTTGATGCTTTTGTGCCGCAGAGTTTCCCAAGGAGCTTCATCGCCGCTGTCTGGCCGATCGAAAAAGATAGAAGTTCGCCCAGAAGGCGTGGGTGACGGAGAGCGATCACTGCGCATCGTTCGGCCCCGAGATGGAGCAGCAGTACTCGCCACGGACTTGACACGAAGAGGCCGAGTCTGTGCCGTTCCTGGGTGAAGAAATCCCGCGGACTCGGACTCCGGCTGATCCTCGTCTTCATCCTCGTCCTCGCCGCCTACTCTGTCGCCCTTTCCTCGCAGGTTACCGACAAACATCGCTGCGACGCCATCGTCCAGCTCCTCGACACGGTGTTTCTCGTTCCCGGCCCATTCGTCGTCTTCGTCTTCTCCGTGGTCCACTTTGGCCGCCAGACTCGGCGTCGGTGGTCTGTATTCCGGTCCAGCGATGAGATCACCGCGTTTGCGAAGACTTCGGCGGGCGATGCAACCATAAACTAGCCAAGCCGTGAGACCGCCGATGACAAGGCCACCCACCCCGCAAGCAGGAACAATATACAAGAGATTGGTGCTCGATACCATTTCGAGTTTGCGATGAGAGTTGGCAGGGATGCTTGTGTTTGACGGAGGCAGCGCACTGATAGAAACGACAGACTGACTAGATGAAGGCGGCGCGCTCGATGATGAGAATGGCGAGCTTGAGCTTGAGAGGGACGAGGAGCTGAGTGCGGAGGAGGCAGAGATGCTACTAGCCGGGATGCTTGAGGTGCTTGAATCGAACGAGAAAGCGACCTCAGGCGTGTTTGTCGCCAAAGGTTCAACTATGAGGGTGTTGGTTGGCACAGGGGAATTTGTGGGAGAGTTCGTTTGAGTTTGAGTGGCGGGTGGATAGGGCCACCAGTAGTCGTAGCTTGAGGATGTCAAGGCCATAACTTGGCGAGCGTAGTATTCGTTGACGTGGTGTTGCCGAGGTCGTTTGTGCGACCCGGAGGGTTGTGAAGAGCGCGCCTCGGCCAGTTCTGCGGTCGAAAGCAACACAGCGATCGCCACAAAAGAGCTGAAACTTGAAGAGGGCATGTAGGACAGTTTAAAGAGCGGCGAAATAAAACGAGTGTGGGTGCGTTGGTGGTAGTAGCTGTTGGTTGTGATCAGTCCGCGAGCTAGGAGCTTCAGAAGCGGGGTTTCCTCGTGATGCCGTTGATGCCCAGCGCGTCTTTTTCGAAGACCACGACCATGGCCCACCATACCGTCCAGTACGTCGCATTCACTGCTTACGCCCTGACCTCATCTTTCTGCTAGTCCCTGGCTACGATGGGCCGTAGAACCTCGTCAGTCCGCCTCCTGCTCTAAATAACGCCAGCTGAACATTGCCAGTGGAATCGCTCAGACTGCTTTCCATACCCATAATCCTGTACTTCAACTGGGAGCTGTTAACGCCACGTCTGGCGGGTCTTTTTCAACCCTTCGTTCCTTCCCTGGCAGCATATGCACCAGACGGCCATCTTCCCAACCCATTCGCCCCCTTGTTCCTCCTCTCCCACAGGGTGCCCGAATCGAGCTCGGATGACCCGCGCTACGCCAAAGGCTGGTTCGACTTGCTGTTCCTCGCGTACTACATCGTTTTCTTCTCGTGCTTCCGGCAAACCTTCGCGGTGAAGATGGGTCGTGCGCTGGCCCGCTATTTCGGGATCAAAAAGCCTGCCAAAGTTGACCGGTACGGAGAGCAGTTTTATACCTGCGTGTACTTCCTCATTTCGGGTCTCTGGGGCGTGGTGAGTATATCGACGTTTAGTATGTCCTGTATACTGAAAACGATACCCAGCGCATCATGTCTCAGCTACCTACCTGGTGGTATGACACCAAGTACTTTTGGCTAGGTTCGCCCTCTCTTGACGCCTAAATCCGGTTCCATTCTCATTCGTTCCAGATTATCCCCACTGGGACATGAAGCCCGAGCTGAAGCGCTACTATCTCATGCAAATGGCACATTGGCTGCAGGAGCTCATGGTTCTGGTCCTGAAGCTGGAAAAGCCCCGTAAGGACTATGCGGAATTGGTCGCGCACCATCTTGTCACTCTCTGGCTCGTCGGGTCAGTTTGTCCCAACACGTATTCCGCTCAGGTTCACTCACCCCTATGCAGATGGAGTTACCTGATCAACTTGACGTTAATTGGCAATGCGGTGTATATCAGCATGGATCTCCCGGATACCATCTTTGCTGTAAGGCCTTGTTTGACTTTTCTGTCTCCCAAGCTGAATTATGGACAGTTCTCCAAAATGCTGAACTATATGCAATACGACCGAGCCAAAGTTGTGTCGTTTCTCTCGTTTGTATTCATCTGGTCGTACGTCTTTGAGAATCCCGAAGACGACAGCGAATTGACCTACTTCAGGTACTTCCGCCATTACCTGAACTTTGTGATCCTGTGGTCTGTCTGGTCCCAATACGATCTGATTCCGTAAGCCGTTCTTGGATCAGTGTCTTGCGTTTCATATCTGAACGGCGGCTCAGCGATTTTTCCAAGCAATGGATTTGGGCCGAGGGTGTTTATCTGAGTTGGTGGATGCAATATCAGGTCTTTGCTCCTCTGGTCTTGCTCCAGGCTCTAAACCTGTTCTGGTATTACTTGATTATGCGTGTTCTTTATCGGTGCGTTGGTTTATCTGCAGGTTGGATGTCCGCCTGACCATTATATTTCAGGACAATCGTGACGAATGTAACGGATGACGACCGCTCCGACGACGAGGGCGACGATGATGACCACAAAAAAGACGAATAGAAGCCATATTGTTTATATCTTTGCGAAGGCGACCTGTAGAGTCAATGTATCGTACCGCGTGGGCTTGTAGCTGCCCATTAATCATTTCCAACCGGGTCTCAGCTGACCAGACGCAGTACTTCTCCCTGCTCCAACCGCTTTCTGATCTTGCCCAAGTGATGAGGATTCTCGACGTTCAAGATGCATTCGTGTGAGAGCTTTGTGTGGCCGAAGATTCTCCGCCACCTTTTTAGCTGCTCAGCACTCCACACCCGCGAGTCATATCGGCCTGTCTTTCCATGCATCTCCTAGCTGCGGCCGCCGTTCTGCCTGCCTTGACCTGGGCAGCCAGCTTCACGCCAGAAGTGTCTCTGTTGACCGATCTTCCTCAATACCAGCCCCAAAATCTGTCCAAGTTGACCCTCGTGTCTGTGCTCAATAACATCAACAAAAAGCAGCTCAAGGGCTCTACGTTCTACTTCGGGAGCACACTCGCTGATCAGAGCGTGTCGCCCCAGAATGCCGCTTGGACCAGTGTCAGTGCCGGGCCGGCATCGTCTCGCCAAGCTCTGATGGGTATTCGAATGTTCGTAGGCCCGCTTCAAAGACACCTGGAATCTCGCAGTCGCAGAGAACGATTGCAAATGGTTCTCGAACGAACCGCAAGAGGGGGTCTTCAATTTGACTGCTTGTGAGGGCCTGCGCGACTATGCCTTCCAGCACGGAATCGCCTTTCGAGGGTGAGTCGGTTCCGGTATTCATTCCCCTGTGATCGACACGACTTGTCTAGCCATAACACGTACGAGGAGGCATCCGCACAGCGCGTGCTCGAGGTGACACCTGCCACAGGTTCTGGCACAATCAGAGACCCGATTGGCTTGTCAACAATACCTCGGCGTTTACCGTGGATCAGCTGAACGACACGATCATACCGACCGCGGTTCAGTCCGTCATTCACGGGCTTGGAGGCAAGCTCAAGTCCTGGGACGTCGTGAACGAAGCGCTGTGCGTCTGAATGACTGACCGGCTGTCGCCCCTTGCAGATCTTCGTTCATAGATCGGATGCTGCCGTCCCCGGGATGGATCTCGTCGACTGTGTCGTGAGTGCCGGCAGGTACGTCACGGTTGAGTTATGGCTGGAGATCGCATCCTATGCACGATGCAGATGGCCGAACTTTGCCGTCGACGGCGACAACACATCGGCTGTGCTCTTCCCCGACTACTCATTCGTGAACACTGCGTTCATCAACGCTGGCAAGGCTCGCCGGAAACTCGGTGCTGATATCCAGCTCTTCTACAACGATTACAACAGTGCGTCTTTTCGACGAACAAACCGAATTTAACTTTCATGGTAATAGTGTAATATACCTTCTCCCCTCGCCTTCGAAGACTGTGATCCACTGACTCTCCCAGCGGTGGAGACTTTCCGTCGCAAGCCAAAACCGAATGCGCCTTCAAACTGATATCGCAGCTGCAAGCCGCCAAAGCGCCCATCGACGGAATCGGCATCCAATCCCATTACAGCGCAAATCCACAGGCCTTCCCGTCAAAGGAATCGGCCCACTTTACTATGGACCGTCTCAAGGTTGGCTTGATGATCGTCGAAATTCAACGTGGTTCTCCTGCTGATGTTTCCTGGACGTAGAACATGGGCCTCACGGGCGCGATCACGGAAATGGACGTCTGGCTTCCTGACAACACGACCGAAAGCCTGCGGTGGCAGGCTTCCATCTTTGGAGACATTCTCGATTCTTGTCTCTACAGCTCAAACTGCAACGAGTTTCTTGTCTGGGACAATCGCGTTCATAACATCCAACTCATAGGAATCGACACCGGCTGACTTGAATCGACAGGACGACGAATCGTGGCTGAACGCTTTCAACACGGGTGTGGTACGCCAATGACGCGGTCTGCATCCTATCCTTCTCCTGAACTGGCTGCTGCAGCACATGGGAACTCTCTTCGACGCGGAGGGCAATCCCAAACTGCCGTACTTTGAAGGTACGCTGCCGTCTCGTGATCATTCTCTGCGTCTCGCCTAGTCAGCTTGTCTTCAGTGCTTGCCCGGCTGCTCAATTTCGCTGCCGGACACACCGAGCCGTGTGCCACGTCCAAAGGAACTGCGTTCTGCGTACTGTAATGGTAACGTCACACCCAATGCTAATTTCCTTCGCTCCATAATGAAATATATAGTTTTACAGTAAAAATGTGCTCAATAGTTCACCCCATTTACCTGGGAAGTCCTCGTCAGAAATGCAATAACAGACACACGTGGTTTACGGCACCTTGTCCTTGAGCTGGTTGATGAATTGTTGGTAGCTTGGAAGCACATCCGCGCGGTCTTGGATGAGCGAGCTAAGAGCCCACAGACGCAGAGGCGGCTCGCCATCTTCCTTGACGACGTACAGATGAGGGTAGAACACCCCACGCCGCATCTCACGCGTCTTCTGGATCACAGCATTCACCCGCTGCGAGAACGGGTTGTCTAACAGCGGCAGCGTCGTCTACGCAGCACGTCAGAGCCGGTCGCAACCCAGAGCACAATCCTCACCTTCCCACCCCGAAGACTGTCGTAATTCGGCAGATCAAATACATCCATGATCAATTGGGGCACGGCATCTCGTCCCACCCACAGGAAGATAACCTGCCCGTCCTCAATCAGGAAAAGACCATGCCGTTCTAATCTCTCCGAAGTCAAAGGCAGGGCCGGAGGCATAATCACACCCTGTTCGCCCACGGTGCCAGCCTCGGGCGGCATCGTGTGCAGAGAATAGAAGCAAGGATAAAGGTACGGAACCAGGAGCTGAGACGGCAGCGACGTGAGCAGCGATTGGGAGTAAGCCCTGATGTCCGGCGGGACTTGAGCACTTTGCCGGATGCCGACCTGTCATGCGATTGGTTTAGCATACGCTCGTAGGCACACCTCATTTTTATCTGACTCACATTTTTGAGCAAGCCGAGGACCAGCACCGGCAACATCTTGGTGTTCTCCGCAATCGCAAGCTGGGCACTGGCTCCAGCTCCAGCAGCCGTCATACTGCTCTTGTAAGCAATCAAGATGTCGACCAGTCTCTTGAAGATGTAGTCACGAGCATCCTCCAGCTTGTACGACAAAGAACGCTCCACTGCTTTGTTCGCCAACAAAGTCGCGACCGCGATCTGGTCCACGGAAGCGAACACCTCGGAAAGGTTGCTGGTCGTAGGGTAGGCAGTGGTCACCACACGCAGTCGTCTCTCGCCTTCATAGAACAAAAACAAAATGAGCACCGAAAGCATATGTGAAACAGACTATCCACGCACCAAAGCATGTTGTGTGGAGCATGCCAGTCTGGAGCACCACGAACGGAGTCGTCAACGTGTCCTCGATCTCCACCTCGATGGCATACGACTGGTTCTGAGGGACGGTCGGCATCGCCAACAGATCTGTCGATCGGACGAAAAAGTTGCCGTGGAACGATGCCATCCGAAGGCCCCTAGATGCACGGACACGGGTGATGCACTCCAGCATGATAGGCATGGCCACAACCTCTCCAAACTCGTGAGCGAACTTGATCGCGTCCTCCGATCGTGCGGCGTTGAAAGCCGGGTAATAGTAGGTGTTACCGGTCGTGTAATGCGGCAGATTGGCTGCAAGGGGCAATCGGAAACAGCAGAAACATCGCAATGCAAAACGCACCTAGTGTCGCAACGTCCTGGTATCCAGCACTGAACAGGAACATATCCACCGTGACCTGTGCTCTTGAGCAATCAATCGCAAACGTTTTGTAGAACGAGTTGGCGGCCTGCAGCAGTGACGACTCCTTGCTCGTTCCTAGGATTTTGGGATCTTCACGATTCTTCAGAGCTCCTTCGCCGACAGATGGAAGGCTGGAAGCGAGCGCCAAGATTTTACCGCCGATCGGAGCCTATGATGAGAGCGGTCAGAGATGGGCAACGAGCGTCGAAAACAAACGGGCACGCACCATAAGCTTCGAACCAGCTTGCAAAGCAGGGCCCAAAGCACTCCCGATGATGTTGTTGTCCTTGAACATGTCCCCAATGGTACCCAACAGAGCTTCCAATGCAGGGCGTGCCTCGGTCAGGTTCACCAAGAGGTCAGTTGGCTTAGGGAGGAAGACGTCATCAACATCCGACACAACCAACATGCTAGATTCTGTGCTGCCCGGCTGTTGAGATATAAGTAATTGTTCGGAAGGTTGAAGTGTCAACACGCACGACCATAGAGAAAAAGTAGAGAGACACGTCGTAGCAGATAATACCAATCTTCGTCATGTTCTCATCATTCGGGATTCGATCCAGGTTTTCCAGGAGAGCGCGAGTTGCCGTTGCCACCATTCCTGCGCAGAGGAGTGAGGGGAAGTCGTGAGATAAACCACACAAAACAAACCGGATTGAACCGCAGAGTGGCTGACGTCGATGAGGAATACGTACACCGCCGGCTGGGGTGCACGGACCATGTATTCCGTCGGCGCAACAAACTCCACGACTGAGTGGTTCAATTCAGCTCGTTGCCAACGATCACCAGGCTGCCCGCGAGCTTGATCCCAATCGAACGTCTGCGGGACCTCATTGGACATATTGCACATGCAGCAACGCCAGCGGTTGCCCCCATCGATGAACTGGACATATGGGTTGATATACATACGGCAGCGCCGGCACCGAGCAATGACATCAGAAACAAGGGGGATGGCTTCATCGCCCTCGTCCAGTGTGCGGTAGGGAGTGATGACCAATGCGAGAGGGACCTTGGACTTTCCTAGTAACGAGGATGTCGTGGGGACCGCGTTCATGGTGAGGCGCTGGTACGAATAGTCGGCAACGGCAGTCGGGGCAGGCGACAGACTGGAGCCGGGCGGGAGACGAATCTCAGGGGGTGGTACGTGCAGGTCTCGTGGATCCGGAGGAGAGGTGAGGAGATTGACCGTGTTCAGTTGGAACTGCTTCTGTCCACCCATTCCCATCGAGCCAAATTGGTTGGTGAGGTTGTCCATCGGGCTCTTGCCAAAGGCAGGTGGCTGCTGTTGCCCGTAAGCAGGCTGCTGCTGCTGTCCATATCCCATAGGCTGTTGCGCGTATCCCGCACCCTGATCGGGCTGGAAATATTGGGGCTGGCCGGGGGCCTGTTGCTGCGACTGGAACTGTCCCTCCCCAGCAAGACCGGGTGTGAAGAGCTGCCCGCCGGCTTCCTGGCTGACCAAAGTGCTCTCGTTGCTCGCGCCGCTGTAGTATCCGGCACCCGCGGTACTGAGCTGGTCGGTACTATAGTACGCCTGAGTCTGACCTGCAGCATACTGGCGTCGTTTTCCGTGTCCATGTGTCGCGGCAGTCGGCACGCTCGCTTCGGGAGGCCCTTGAGATTGAGGAGCACCAGTTGGCTCTTCCCATTGTGTATGGCCGGATGCCGTCTCTGGGTGAAAAGTAAAGTTCAAACGTGGTCAGAACGGAGATGACTGAAGATACAGACCGACGAAAAGGTATCGCTGGTTCGCTTCATTCCTACAAATTTATGAGCACAAAAGCGCGTCAAATGGAAGTCCCATTCACCATTCTGCGATCCAGCCAGGAGGGAGTTGTCCGGGTGAAGACATGGCCGTAGAATAAGTGTAATGATGAAGGGACACGCTGGCGTAATCCTAACACGTGCAAATAACACGTCTCTCGCATTAGCGCAGCCACACCAATCGAAGGAAACTGTCGTGGAACATAATATATCATGGGAAAGTATACAGTGATGCTAATGTAATGTTTGGCGAATGGACTTGATCATCGCTGAGATGTCGATAGGCACAGTATGGTGATCATGGGGAGGGGAGACAACGGGAAGATTGTCGGATGTAAATCGTCTGTATCAGCGTTTAGCGCAGAATCTGGTTTGAAGCGAGAACTCACTTGTCGTTCCACCAGGCCATGTACTGGATGTTGAGCGATCGAGCGATGATTTCCTGATCTCGGGCGAAAGTCTGAGGTGGGAAGAGTTCCATCAATGTGGCTTGCGGATTCCGCTGCATGAAGGCGCAGTCCACTAAGCCATTGTCATGAACACCGACCACAACCTTGGGTGGTCCGTTAGAATCCAGCCAGCAAACCATGACCAACTCACTGTTGAGCGCGTGATTGCACGCAATCGGTCACTCCAGGATGTCTCGCCATCAACATCGGAGACAACATGCACTTCAATACCATCCCGCTCCAGGTCCATCAAAGCTGCAACAAATTCGTTGTGGTCGCTGGGACTGAGTCGGAGTCCATCTGCATGAGACTGTCGAGAGACATATGTGACGACCTTCTTCGGTGCCTGGGCTCCGTAGACCTCGAAGTACGTTGCTAACGTCCGGCGCACTGGTTCCCACCAATGTTCTGAAGGTCCCTGCGCTTTGAAAGCTGCAGCGTAAATAGCCTCGTCATCCCGGACCCCATGGGTAGCGGCCGTCCGGTCTGCTACGACCAGTCGGTCAAAAACAAACGGTGCTCCCAGCTTGTGGTAATCCTCCCAGTCTCCGTAGTACATGACAGTCAGATGTGGGAAAGCAGCTTTCACCAGCTCAGGGTGAATTCCATTGACCACTCGCTGTCGTCTCGTGGTCACATCGGCGTGCACCGGATTCGGGTCGGTGAAGAATCCATAATAGGGATAAATTAGTCGTCGGGGAGGAGACAACTTGGTAACTCCATCGGGTCCGATGTCAGGATCAAGCATGCTGTATGCCCGCCATAGAGCAATCAGGGTCGAATTGTGCGGGGAAGAGTCTGCTCCCATCCAAGAAACACCGGAGATTCTGAGGACCAGTTCAGTAACCATCGACATGCAATATATGTAGGCCTCACCTTCCGCCGTAGGATCCGAATTTACGTCGCGCTTGATCAGGTGTGAGGACGTTCCATTTGTTCAAGTCTGTGGATAAGACTATATGCGACAGCGGCGGTACGCTTTCGGGATCTTCGGTAACGATATTCATGGTCCCATTGAATAAAATAATATTGTCCACTGTTGTGTAGCCTGTGCGGTGTCAATGTTCTGAGCGCAGTCCGAAGCGTTGCGAACTCACCAGGAACATGCTTAACCACTTTGCCCCTGGGCACGTCGTCGCCCCACCGCCAGATAGCCTGATCCACGGTTAACTGCCCCAATGTCCGACTTCTGACTTCCCCAATATCGCGTTTCCCTAACCACATGGCACCGAAACGGCCCACACCCTTGGCCTGACCAGAGCCAGCAGCATCTCCGGCGACCTCTCCTTCCTGCCAGGCCCATTCGCCGTATATGGCTCGCTCCAACGCGTCCTGTGCACCGGAAATACGTATCCCGTCTGGACCCAGCGCACTGTTGCCGCCGAAACCAAGCCGGGACAAGACCGCGTTCTCTCGGCTGACGCCAACGATGCGTACTGTAGAGTCGATATTATATGAAAGAGCGAAGACGATGAGGGAGAATAGCGCGAGGGAAACTTCACGTCGGGTTGGTGGAGCCGTCCACCTCATCGCTATCCCAAGTGTGTAGAAAGAGAGCAAGATTTCGTAGCAAGTGCAGGACAAGCTGAAGCAAACAACGTCGTCCGCTTGACGCTCAGAACGGAAAACGTGATCGCATATTCCCTTTTACGGTTGCGTCGTTGACGAGCCCTGGATCTCGCCTCAGCCTCCAATTAATTGCGACTTTGAGAGCTTTTCGCAGGTATTTTCTCCCATTCTCTTGCTATTCAAGTGACGTCGCTGTCTCGAAATAATTTGTAAGACAGTCCGTCACTCATCTCTGAATGTCGCAATCGCTGTTGGTCATGTCGAGAACGCCCTAAAATCTGCAAGATTCATTGTACTTTTCGTAACTTGACTCGGATGTCTCAATGCTCTGGTTTGCGGCACATTTCAGCTCGATTCGTTATGCGTTAGCCGACGACTGCTTTTGGAATCAAATTCCCCACAGATTGTGGCTGTTTCAACCCCATGTGCGGGATGTGTGGCTTCATTTCGTACACGCTCATGCGCGAGGTGCCCGTCTCGCCTGGAAGTCTTATCAAGCTTGGCTTTCTTTGTCTGGTTGAATGGAACTTATCAAATGTATAGACTATTACCGAGGAGACTCGAGCGAGAAAGTTTGTCCCTTCATTTTGGCGTTTTCTCGCGTGTTCGGTCCGATCAATCATCGCGGAAGGATTGGCCACCGGCCATCTATACTGCCGTCGACTGCTTCTCTGCATGCCATCCAACGGACGGTCCAGTGTCGCGCGCTACATGGCTCTTCTCAGTGGAATACGCTAGCAAAAGTCCCTCTTGTCAGAGGATGCGCGACTTCTGCTCCGATTTTTCCCAGGGTGATGGGCTGAACGTCTCGAGGCCCTGGAATGTGCCAAAACTTCTCGCCGTTTTCTGCACTGTAGTTGCGCGAGACTGCTTCGCGAATCAGAATACTTTGCAGACACACCTCATCAGAATTGGCCGCCGCAGCAACTGGCACAACGAACGCAACCGAACCTCTGTCAGAGAAGGTTTGACCGTAACTTCATCTCCAGACACACCTCACCCTCACCAGCCATGCTTGACCCACCGATGTGCTGCTATGCGCAGTTCTGCTGGCACGGTTGCTCTCGGAGAGCGAGGGAACGGAGGCATCTGCGGCTGATCCTGGTCTGCCCTGGTCGAGTGGTGCGCTCTGGCCTACTCTCAGACTGGTATAAAATCACGCAGGGCTCCCATCGACGCCCCAATTCCACTTCTCTTCCCACCTGATTTTCCCTTCTCCCCTTCTTCAAATTCGTCTGGACGATGTCTTTTAGCTGTTCCTCTTCCATCACTCATCTCGGCGGGCCCGAAAATGACCATGAAGCCGATGATGCTACTCTCCATTCGAGTTCCAACCTTCCCGGATCCCTGGCCAAGTTTAAGCCCCAGCCCCCGCCTCTGTTCTCTCAGGAAACTGGACTGAGCGACTTGAAAACTGCCCCGCCCGACGAATGGCTCTCGGATCCTCGTAATCCGCGCAACTGGTCGAATGGCAGGAAATGGAGCGTCGTATCTATTGTATGTGGTTCACCCGCCCAGACCCATCAGTTTTTCTCTGAAGCACTCAGGTTTCTTTCTACATGTTCGTGTCCCCACTTTCGAGCTCTATTATGTCCCCGGGACTTTCCGAAATCGCCGCTAAATTCAACATCGACAACGAGACCATCCTCGCGATGACGCTTTCGATTTTTTTGCTTTCTTTCGGGATTGGACCTTTGTTTTTGGCTCCGTTGTCGGTGAGTGCATTTGCTCGTTTCCACGCCACGCAGAACTGATTTTACTATCTTTAGGAAATGTACGGAAGGCGAGTTTTTTTTTTTCCTTTCGATCGACTGGCCAAGACTGATCAACCATGTTGCCGCAATTTTCAGGAGATGGGTGCGCTACACAATTTGGGACATCTGAGCGAACACTAAGTCGACGAAATCCTCAGATTCTTCACGCCGGAAACATGTTCAGTATTGTATTCCATTTGGGTTGTGCTTTTGCACCGAATACAGCCACCCTTCTCGTATTTCGTTTCCTCGGTGAGTGAAAAGACCTCATTAATTATTATTTTTGAAGGCTGATTTTGAGCGCAGCTGGATTCTCAGGAAGCGCACCAGTCGCTTGCGGAGGAGCTGTTGTCAGCGATCTTTTCAGCGAGCGAGAACGGGCCTCGGCCATGGCCTTATTCAACGTTGGACCCTTGCTTGGACCAGGTACCTGACAACTCCATTGATTAAATGAGGAGCTCATGCATATCATCTAGTCGTAGGACCGATCGCTGGAGGTCAGTTGACTTCTTACTCCCAGCTTCGAATCCTGAGCTTTTCACAGGGTTCATTGCACAATTGGTCGGAGTCCAATATGTGTATTTCGTCCTGGCAGGTGAGTATCACCCTCTTCCGAGCACTCTCAGAATCCGAATACCGTTAGGTGTCACCGCACTAGCAGGTCTCATCGGAGTGCCTTTCTTGAAGTAAATCCCTTTCAATTTTTTTCTGCTTCATCAGCCGAACTCGTTCAGGGAAACCTACGGTCCACTTGTTAAACTCCGGGTGACCACACACCCCACGGACCCAGAAAAGACCCCTCAGCTCGCGGACGGCGTTCATAGTCTGCCGAAGAAAATTAACTTCCTCTGGACAAACTTCAGCCGGCCTCTGCATCTATTAACGCACAGCTTCATTTGCTTTACTCTGAGCTTGTATATGGCCTTGTAAGTTTTCTTTTTTCTTGCTTTCAGCGTCATTTCCGAATGAATCTTTACAGCATGTATGGGTTAGTCTAGTCCCGTTGGCCGACGAAGATGCACTGATCAGACCATCTTTCCTATGTGACAGGATATACTACCTCTTCTTTGCAACTTTGAATGGTCTGTCTTTTTTTCTCTCTAGACTTTTGAAAACGCCGTGCTAATTCGAAATATCTGCAGCGTTCTTTCGCAAAACATACGGGTTTTCTATCGAGACATGTGGCTTGATGTACGGTGGTCTGGGTGCAGGTTTCATGTTGGCTGCATTCTGCAATGCCCGATACTCCAATGTCTTCTACAAATATGTGAGTCGACCCCGTTGGCTGTGTGCGTGATTTAGGTCGGACTGACTTTCCACAGCTAGCTGATAAGAACGGTGGAGTTGGTGAACCGGAAATGCGAATCCCGCCCATGTTCATCGGCTCGGTCTTTGTCCCTCTTGGCTTATTGTAGGGCCTTGAATAAGTTCTGACGAGTATAGATACTGAGATTCACCTTTCACAGGTGGTATGGCTGGTCGGCCCAAGCAAAGTTGCATTGGATTATGCCGGTGATAGGCTCCGGTATCTTCGGATACGGTTCGAACGACGTCTCAGATGAATCAATCCTTGCTCACTGATCGTTCACAGGGATGATGACTACCTTCTTGCCCATCCAACTCTACCTCGTCGACTCTTTCAAGTACGCCGCCAGCGCGCTTTCTGCTGCATTTGTACGAGTTTCGCTCACAAAGATGCCACGGCTTATCTGAACACTCTGAAATAGCTGTTCCGGTCTATGCTCGGCTTTTCTTTTCCTCTGTTTGGTCATGCCATGTTCACTAAAATGGGGTTCGGATGGGGCAACACACTTTTGGGAGGTGAGTGTCCTCTTGGAAATGTGATGATTTAGAGATTCACGTCTACACAGGAATTGCGATCCTCTTGGGATTCCCTTTGTAAGCGATCCTGATGATGCAATTGAACTTGCTTATCTCATCTACCCAGCCCTGCCTACATCTACTACCGCGGAGCAGCCCTCCGTGCCACAAGCGGCCTCAACCACTGAATCAACTCCCTTCGGGAAATATGCCACTCTATGATAACACCATGCACATATGAGAACAATCATGTATAACTAAATAGCTTGTATTTAGCTTTCTACACGATGCTTCTCAATAATTCTCACGTGATCGTGCACTCCACTCACGTGCATTGGTGACCGGGCCGGCCCGACACCCTTGCCGTTCTGTCTCGCAGTGTTTGGCGGCCAAACAGGTAGAGTCTGCCTCAACGTCCATGTCTAGTTTGCAAGGCTATGTCGACCGTACGCTTTTGAGATCGATGCTCTTTACTGTCTCCTGATTGCAGCTGTCTCCAGGTCGCGTCACTCTTATTCTGCAGGACGGACGCGTGATCATTGTACTCATTCTCAGTTTTCCATTGGCTATCTCTCACGCGTCAGAAAGGGCATCCTAGCCGGTTTTGACCAAAAGTCGAACGTGGTCTTATCAGAATCCAAGGAGCGAGTCTATAGCATGGAGGAAGGCGTGGAGGAGGTCCCTCTAGGACTGTACCTGGTAAAAGGCGACATGATGTGCGTATATCTCTGCACAAGAAGCCGTTTTTGACCGTGTTTGCTCCTGTCCAGCGTTCTCATAGGCGAAGTTGACGATGCAATCGATCAGGCTGTCGATCTGAGCGCGACTCGGGCGGAGCCGATACCACCGATTCGCTATTAGCGCATAACCAATCTCGACGACTGCCCCATTGGACCAAGGGATGCGCAAAAGGGCCGACGTTTGGAGTGCAATTGAACGAATGATCACGTTGTCCGTCGCGTTGACGAGCATTCAAAATGGCCCAAAGAACTTCTGCTGCAAATGGAGCCTCGCGCGATCGCGATTGACTGTCTGTCCTCATCCGCGTATTCAAGGTCAGGGCGTTATGTCTTGCAGTGTCGGGTGGAAGCACGCAGGAGATCGCCTGTACTTGATGTCTCACAAAACTACAACGAGCTACAGTAGCTGTCTGCGAATAGCATCGGTCGAAATATCGATTTGGAACTTCTTACTTCGTCTCATCCTTCCCTGCCACCTTTCGTTGGGTATCTTTGTCAATGTGCGACCTCACGCAGGAGATTCATGTTCCCCGCATATACTTCAAAAAAAATAATCATCTGCCCTCCCCCCAGTGTGCGCAATGATGATTGTGCTCAGCAGCCTCCGCCCGCCAACTTTTCATCTTTACAAGAGATCAAGTCAACACTCGTGTTCGGGAGGCGATCAGAGTATCCATGATGTGAACGCGCTGAGGGCCGAGATTGGCACGAATAACGGCCCGTGTACCGCGGCATCGCCACGTAAACAGTTGGGCTTGAGAAATTGTGGAGAAGTTTGCCGCGAATGAAGTCTCCGTAGATAGAACTCGACGCGTTGAGGGCAGATTGCATTGAGCGGTGACTACTACCGCGCTGTCTCGGCTTATTCCGAGAGAGACGACTGCTGGACCACAGCAATTTATCGCGCTTCTCATCGTGACACGGAAGAAGCCCTCCGATTCTTGACATATTGCACTGCCACTCAAAGCGCCCTCACACACACGGCCATCTGTCTCCCTTTCCCATTTCCTGTCCTGCATTGAACCCAGTCACTGTTCGTGGCATTCCTCTTTTCTCAAAGCGTTTCTTATGCTCAAATTTCGCAGCGTTACCACTATGTCATCCATCCAAGACGACAAAATCCAATCCGTTTCTCTGACCTCGCTCAAAGATGATGAGGGAGAGTCATTCTCCAACTCGTTACCCGCCCCCGTCTCCGTCACCCCCGCCGCCAAACCGAAACCGAAAGTGCCCATCTTCGTCATCATACCTGTCTGGATGGCCCTCTCCGTCTCCGTCATTCTCTACAATAACTACTTGTACTCCGATCTTGAATTCAAGTATCCCGTATTCCTCGTTACATGGCATCTCACGTTCTCTGTGCGTCGCGCAAAAGCGCTCTTTCTTATTAATTATGCTCATGATTCTCGCGTAGGCCATCGGTACCCGTGTGTTACAGCGAACGACAAACCTCCTAGACGGAACGAAGGACATCAACATGAGCAAGGACATGTTCCTCCGGTCCATTCTCCCCATTGGCGTGCTTTTCAGTGGCAGTCTCATTCTCAGCAACACCGCGTACCTTTATCTCAGCGTGTCGTACATCCAAATGCTCAAGGTGAGTATTTGATTCCATCGAAACGCCACCATCTGAGCATGCTCCACAGGCGTTCAATGCCGTCGCCGTCCTGATCATCTCATGGGCATTCCGCATCTCAGAGCCGAATCGCAAACTCGGCGTGATCGTCTTCATGATCTCGTTCGGTGTCGCGCTTACATCCACCGGCGAACGGCATTTCCTTCTGCTCGGTTTCATTATCCAAGCTGCCGCGGTCGGCTTCGAGGCTGCCAGACTTGTGATGATTGAGGTCTTGCTTCACGGCATGAAGATGGACCCGCTGGTTTCGCTTCACTACTATGCGCCCGTTTGCGCCATGATCAATCTCGTGTTCCTCCCCTTCACCGAGGGACTGCAGCCCTTCTACGAACTTGCCCGCATCGGACCGCTCATCTTGATCAGCAACGCAGCGGTCGCCTTCTTGCTCAACGTGGCCGCCGTGTTTTTGGTTGGGGTGGGCAGCGGACTGGTGCTCACGCTGGCCGGTGTGCTCAAGGTTCGTGTTTTGCACGTACGCTAGAATGAAACTGATCTGCTTTCAGGACATTCTGTTGATCACTGGATCTGTCATCCTTTTCAGTGCTCAGGTTTCACCTTTGCAAGTTTTCGGTACGCCGCGGCCTAAAAATCGATGTTTCGTCTCTTACTCTGATCAGGTTATTCGATTGCTCTCGCCGGACTTGTGTTCTTCAGAACGATGGGAAAGTAGAGGTCGGGGTGTCTTTGCTCTGTACGATGGAACATTTGGAGTATTACATGGCACATATCATAGACTCAGCTTGCTGGCAGCTCTAGTTATAGAACACTTGTGCGATTTCTTTCGGTACTTATACAACCATGTATTTCGACTCGATAGACGCCTTCTATTCGGTTCACAAGGCGCGCGCGTAATTGAAACGTTTGGGTTTATTGAGTGCAAGCGCCTCGATAAAGCTGTTTTCATATCTTTGCCTTGCGCAGGGTTCAGATGGCGGCCACCGTCAGGGCACCGGCTGGGCGCAAGACTCCAAAGCTGGGCACTTCAGCCAAGTCGAAACTGGGGTCTACTGCAAACGAAGGCTAGATCAAACTGCGAGCGAGATGGATCAAACCTGTCGGCCGACGAAATTGAGCTACGTTCCTGCTCACATCGATCGCCCTTGTTCTCGGCTTGTTTGCCGTCCCCGCCCTGAACAGGCCGAGCCCCTGTTGTCAGCTTAAGACCCTCTGTGTCATTTCGCCGCTTTTCATGCTCGATAACTTCATAACTCCTTGCAACTCCGATATCTGCAGTCGACGATCGCAGATATCATACACTTGGCAAACGTTTTTCCTGGCGGCTTGAAATTCAAAAACGGAGATATATATTCAACAGTAGGAGATATGCTCGTCTACAAACCACTATCTCCATCGCACCTCCACTAGACCGAGGGACACTTGAATGCGACATGGCCTCTTGGAAGGAAGGGAAAGGAGACGAGGTCCACAGGCCCAGTTGGTTCAATGACGCGGGTGAATCCCCAGTCTCAGCTCTCGTGACTCTTGCCGGATCCCTCGTATCTTCTTCGTCCCTGCCTTCGGCTCCTAGACATCCGGATCCTCGCGCCTCGCTGTCAGAGATGTGTCTGGAGGACGTTAATCCTCTCACAACGAAGATCGACAAGCTCGGTACACTGGAGATGTGCAGAGCCATCAATGCACAAGACGCCATGATAGCCTCAGCGGTGGAGGTGGTAACTCCTGTGATTGCAAACGTGATCGATCGTATAGTGGAGCGGTTGCTGGAGGGTGGACGTTTGTTGTATATGGGAGCTGGGACCAGCGGAAGGTGCGTTACTTATCAGGATGTCGGCTCTCATGACTGACGGGGCAGTCCCGCAGAATCGGTGTCATGGACTTGGCAGACCTTCCAACTTCGTACGACAGAGACCCGATGCAGTACATCGCTCTTTCGGCTGGCGGCGATGGCGCACTTCGGACACCCCGCCCGTCAGTTGAAGATTCACGTGCTGCTGGTGCTGCCGACCTTGGCTCCCTGTTACCTAGCCGAGCGGACGTCCGACGCTCTCGTTGGAATTAGCGCATCCGGCGGTACACCCTATGTTCTCGGGGCACTTCAGAGTGCTCGGGCGTATGGCCTACTCACTGTCGGGTTAGTTTGCTCTCCTTTCACCTTGCTTCATCATGAAGGCCACTGCGACTATGTGATCAATCCTGTGGTCGGGCCTGAAGTCATCGCTGGTAGCACTCGCATGAAGGCTGGGACGGCGACAAAAATGGTGGGATTGTGTGGTCTTCTTTCCCGTCTGTTGACTTACCTGCATCCTTGAGGTTCTCAATATGATATCCACTGGAATACAAATCAAGCTCGGCAACACTTACGGGAACCTGGTTTGCAATATCTGTGTAGCAGTTACTGTGAAGAATCTGAATTGCGTGTTAGATGGTCAATGTCCAGCCGCACAATATCAAAACGATGGCGAGAGCCCGAGTAATCGTGCGCACGATCGCTGGCAGTCGCGTCGATGCGTTCTCAGGTTCGGGACTACCTCAAGCTGTTGCCATACGTTCTGATATACTTGCGCTCAGACGCAGATCTTGATAACGTCCTTGCTCGATGCGGAGGCTCCGTCAAGCTGACTGCCGTCGCAGTTGCTTCTGGCTGGGATCTTCCGTATTGTATGGAGGTTCTGAAGAATCACCACGGATCTTTGGCGGAGCTTCTCCAAGATCTCCGATTCAAGAGCCAGTTGATGAGTGTTCTCCACTAGACTTGCTCGCTTTGCATTTGCTCTCGATGTGTTTTCCTTCGTTTTCCTGTCGATCTAATTAAGTATTCAATAAATCCAATGTTTCCGCAGCACAGGCCCCATGCTCCAATTTATGAACCCTTTTCTCCAGTTCTTGCATTTCTCGGTACGCCACAAATGTCCCAAACTGTGGGAATCCCGCCAATCGTATATTGAAGGAACTCTTTCCCAACAATCCTTCCCCGACCCGTAAAGAATATTCTTGAAGTGGAGACATCCAGGGCATATAACGACTGCCCGAGTGCTCCTCGACATACGTTGTGTACAAGCCTGGACTAGTCCGTTCGTCGTCTGTGAATACTTGCATACTGCTTCCATGAATGATTCCGATTGTTGTGATCAGGACTGGTATGATGACGTCAATTGCTCTGTCCTGGCTGTCCATCTCATGAACTTGAAACCTCGTTTCCTCCGGTTACCTCTGACATGCACCCGACGAAGCCCTTCTTCTCCCAATTCATTCCTAAGGCGACATTTATCATCCCAATCTGTCCCAAATTCCTCCACTCGCTTAAATCATAACACCTGGATCGGGGCCCTCGGTGTCATCGGCGTTGCTTCACTATCATACGCCTGGTACGTGCCACATTTCGCTTCTTCTTCTGGAATCTATTCAATCTCAGTGAGACAGTTATGACTACTATGATAATTGGCGCAACCTCTTTCCCCCCGAAGTCCGCGCGGATCTTAAGCGTGGAATTGCGGCTCAGCATGCAGGAGACAGAGAAGGGAGCGTGTATTTCAAAAGATTGTACGTGCACCCTTCGAATCATGCATTCTTGAACACTTACATACTGCCTGTTAGAGCGTGGGAGGCCGCCCAACGAATTCCGATCGAATCCTTCAAGTCTGAGCCGTACTTGAAGCTAACAGGCATAGCTGTGGACCTCGCGGGCGAACTGGAGGAGAATGGAGACAAAAAACATGCGTTTGAGCTGCTATCAGAAGCTCTAGGTGTGCTCAGAGCTCCTGATGTGACCTTGTCTGGGCCAGAAAGGCTGCGGGCTGTATCAGTCGCGGTCAAAATGGCGTCCCTCGGCGGAGACCCGACTGTGTCTTGGTCAGTCGAGGAGGAGGAGGCCCTGCGTGTGTGGACAGTGGAGGGAATCTTGAAACTTGTTCAGGAAACATGCTTTGCTGAAGGGCAAACGATTGACTTCGCGAAAGTACAATTCCCGCCGTGGATGACTAGAACAGATATCGCTGTCCCACTACTAGAATTGGGGGCCTTTTACGGCAAGTCGGGAAAAATGGAGTGCGTCTGTTTCACGCATCCCCCGTAACAAGTCTTCAACACATTCCAGATATGCAATGCCATTATACGTGCAAACCATCACTCTCTTGGTATCCGGAAACTCTTCGCCGGAAGAAATGTGTCAAGGTGTGTCGGTTGTGCTGCACATTATGACCCGTCTCATTTTCTGTCAGGAGCCGATCTGATGAACACTCTTTCTGAACTGGTCAACCCAGCATCTTCGCCTCAGCGCCGTCAATATGCTGAAAGCTGGGCCAAAAACGCTCTTGCGACGATACAAGCCGCAAGGAAGCGCTCCACGGAATCAATTCCGACTTGCGAACTCGCCTTGGCTGTCGCGTTGTTCAATTCTGGCATGTTGCGAGAGGTCGGTAGCGATGGACGATATATCGTGACTGGAGTTGACCGGCTGACAGCTCGATGGCGATGCAAAGCAAGCGACCTCTTACTATCGCTCTGCGATTGACCAGTCAAGGAAGATTGGACTTGAGGAGGGTGTTGCGGTTGCCCAGGAAGCGATCACTCGTCTGGACGTTACCCAACAGAGCTGAAAGCGCGTTGTATGATACATGCCATGTGGCGATTCATTTCTTCAAATGCACAGTCCACCACTCTTCGAACAGGGAGAGCCCGAGTCCATCTTCCAGTCCCAGGTCCTCCGTCGCTGCGGTGTCCAGCTGGCAGTTGCGAGGTCGCGTTGTCGCTCCAGCTCCACTAGGAGGCTCCGCATCTGGGATGATATGGGCGTGAGGAACGCCGAGGATCTTGCTGAAGATGAGACACATCTCGTATTTCGTGAATGGTTCCGCGCCGGAATAGTGGATGATGGCAGGAAGAGGCTCCTTCAGGGCTACACCAAAGTGAGCACACTGGTCATTCCGTAACCACGGGCAGGGAGAACTCGCCCGTCAATCTCGCGAGAAAGTTGGCAATATCGATGACGTTGGTGGGGTATCGGGTTGCGAAGTGATCCATCTTGTATGTCTTGCCCGATTGATCCTGGACCACATCGAGAAGGATGTTCACAGCACTGTCCGAGTTGTTTGGTGCCGGTCCATAGCTGTGTGCTGTCAGCAGCTATACCGTCCGACTCGGCGGGAACGGAACGCCGGAGCGGAACGACGCACAGGACGGGGACGCGCAGAATGACGGAGTTCCCGTCTCGAACAGCCTCTTCTCCAGCAAGCTTAGTCTCGCCGTACAATTGCAGCGGGTGAGGCTTCGAAGTCGGGAAATACGGTGGAGCCGTTCCGTCAAACACGTAGTCTGGGTAGTCATAACGAGGAGGCTGTGATCGTCAGGCGATGGACGCACCGGTGGAGATGTACACAAGAGTGAAGCCCAGGGTCTTGGAGAGCTTTGCTAGGTGCAAGGGCACTGCAGCGTTTAGCTACATGTGGGTCACTAAGCCAGTCATTCAATGGAAGAGTGGAGCGCGAATATCACTTTGCGGGCTGCTTCAGGATCCTAACGCCGGGTGGACATGTCAGATACTCGATAAGATGTTCGAAAAGTGCATACTTTCTCTGCGACGTCTGGTCGACGTTCCGCTGCGCAATGAATCACCCCTGATCCCAAGCGCGTCAAGGGCTCAGATCGAGGGAGAGCTATGGGTGGATCTCACAGTCTGGTTTAAACTCCCCAAAGACCTTTTCTACTGCAGGAAAGTCGAGAAGGTCCAGCTGCGTCAGGTTATCGCCAGATCGCGTGTGAGAGAGGCTGAGTAGTTCCGTATTTGCGGCGTTGAAGGCATCTCGGATGGCGGATCCCAGAACACCTGAAGCACCTTCTCTGATATTCAGGAATATGTGAAATAGACCGATTCAATTGGGCTTGCCTGTGACGATGACTTTGAGCCCCATGAGAGTCCTTGTGAGCAGACACTAAGTGGAGTTTAGAAGGAGAAAGGTGATAAGATAAGATCGATGCCATCAGTGATAAGATCACCTACAGATTGAATTTTCAGCGTTTCTATGTGCGCTGATTTCATTAGACACTATTTTCCAGCGGTACCGTCGCGATGATGGCGAGTATTGGGAATAATCGTGTGAACGTTTCATAGTCTTCGAAATTCATGACCCGCAGAAAAGACTCACCCTACTCGAGATTACATGGATTACATTACGTAGGGTGGCTGTCCTCTCGATCCTCCTAGTGAACTCTTCCCTAGGTTACCTCCTAGATCTAGATGTAAGACAATGGATACTCTCACCGAGACAAGATTTAGCTTCCACCTTCTGTACGAGTCGCATCGAGGCATCGGATCCCCGAGGGACGCTTGGTGCCATTGTGGTCGGGGCGCATTCTGCCGGTAGCCGGTCGGCATTGATGTCGCCATCAGGACTCTCCTGTGTCTGCTACACGCAAAATCCCTGAGTGTAAAGAGAAATGATAGGAGGGGCAGCATAGCAACAGACACAGACACAACCTCCGCGTACGCTCACTCAAGGCTGCATGTGACTCGAAAACAGCGCTGTCAGCGGTACAGGAGAGGGGATTTCGACACCCGAATCTTGGAGAGGTGATCAGAGATCAAGTTCCGACAGATCGTGAGTGGCCAAATGCATCTCATACATGTTTGCGCCTTCGTAGTCTGCATTCCAGCAACAGGAGGCCTGCCCACGTTTTGGTTCCGTCGAGCGTTGAAGAAAACAGTGATGCCAAGCGGTGTCTGTCAATCGACCCCGATCTAGTGGCGGTGCAACATAGTTGGTGCCTATCCTCTCCATGTCCTACGGCCCTGAGGAGCTCATATCATTCGAGGACCAAACTCAACGAATCTATGTAAGAGCCTCAGTCTCTCAGTGCTAGACCCCAGGCTCAGCTGATATAGTTTCCCCATGCTTTTAGTGATTCCATCAAAGTGGATTATTAATGCTCTCTAACAACCGTCAAGGCACGTCCAACGCGCCCAAGTGGGTGACACCAGAGCCCTGTAGAGGAGCGCCTCAAACCCTGCCCGAGGACCTCCCGAACAGCCAGCCCTTGTTGAACGGTGAACTACGGTGAAGGTTCCCATGAGATCTGGCGAAGATCAATCTGGGGGACATCCGTATTGCCTCCGGAATCCGCATGTTGTCATGCGACAATCAGGCAACGGAGCCGGATCGAGCTAGGGATGTTCTCAGAAGAGCTGTGGGAGAATCAAGATTCATATGTACACCGTTTCTGATGTCCTTCTGATTTGAAAATAAGATTTGGGCGCACCCCAAACGGCTCTTCTTGTCCACTCTCTTGCTCCCGGTCACGTCCCCTCGTCCTTCCATGGCTCCTCCTCCCAGCAGTCTCCGCGGGCTTCCTGGCACTGGTCCGCGCGCACGAGCGCAGAGTGACGCGCTTCCGCCGTCCTTTGCGCCGCCAGTGAACACACCGCTGTACTCCCATGCCTCCAGTTACAGGTAAGTCTCAGGCGCGTCCTGTTCATTCCGCTCGGACTGGATCTCTCTCGCAGGTCACTTCAGATGGAGCTCTTGATCTATAGCCCCTCCGTGAAGATGGTTTCACGACCGTATACGACGAACCAGGCCTTGGCCGTTTTCAGTGACCAGGACATTGTGAGCGGAAAGGTCATCTTGGATCCGAGCTGCCAGGTTGGACGGTTGAGTGTAACGGTGCGCCCCATCCGCCAGGCTTTCATTCCTGTTCGACACTAACCAATTGCTCCAGATCGAGGGCGCGTTCCTCTACTCGACGGAGAAGCCCAACGACGATATTGCACCGTACGGAACTACCCCGGCCAAGAGGAAACATGTGTTCTTTTCGTCTTCCAAAGTGACGCAAGTAGCAGCAACCGACGCGAGGGAGCCGAGGTCCACGCTCCGTGAGGTCTTTGTGCTCAAGCGACGCCCCAGTGGCTCCAACATACGGTCCTTGGCCCTCGAACCCCGTGCTTTTCCATTCGCATTTGAGCTGCCTCGGAGCAAACGATCTGGCGAAGAGATGCCGCCGACATTCTGCTCGTCGGATCCTAAATGTGCCCCGTTCGAGGTGGTTTACCAAATCTCTGTGACATGGGAGTCTGCTGACATCACCGAAAACCCATCCTTGTAAGTCTGTTCTGGTCGGGTGTTTGCTGTCCCCTTTGACGCGGTTTGTTTCAGCCTCGAAATCCCCATCATACTGCACCCCGACACGGGCTTTCATTCGCTGAGTGCGGTGGCGGGGAACGACAGTTCTTGGTTGGAGATTCCACTCAAAACAGACAGGCCAATCGCGTTCCGCTGCGCAGTAAGGTTAGCTTATTGTTTCTCGATCGGTGCTGATATCTCCGCCCAGGTGACACTGCCCACATCTGTAACATTCTCACGGGCGTCTTCGATCCCCTACTTCGTAGTGTTCACCACAACACCTCGCTCGGGGACAATGGCACGCGAGATAGCCGCCGACGCGACTATTTCTATCTCAATCTTCAGCCAGATTACGATCACCGAGACGGCGGCCTTACCGATCACCCCACCCATCACACCACTCAGCGAGTCTTCCTCGGATTCTCTGCCCATGTCGCAGCCACGCACGAGGCTTCTGCGGCGAGTACGATCCCGGACTTCGCCATGGTCTCCACGCGCAGCAGACGGAGATGTCCCCGACGCCCCACTACCGCGATTGCCGACGCAGACGGCGTTCTCGGACACGCAGACGATCCATTCCTCGATGTTTATTGGCTTCCCGAAGCGACCGAGGCACCAGCAGCAGGGTGGCCCGAACGAGCATCCGACGCTCGAGTCGCAACGTGCTCTCCCCGATGGGTTGCACAAGGATAAGATCCAGCTCCGGCGCGACATGCTGCCGACGATCGATTGGGCTGGCATTTCTGTCAAGGTGCGTCTTTGCACGAAGCCGGTCGATGCATGCTGACTGTGATGCAGTATTACATGGACATTTCCGTTCTTTTCGGTCAGGACGAAGTTCGAGGACGCGTCCCTTTGCGCATGATCTGAGACCGTCCCCACGACACACACCCGCTCACACACACATACACACTCGCTCGTTACTTCCAAAACACTTCGTATTCATCATACTCATAGACCCCAGTATAAGCACTATCCACCTTTCGTTAACCATCTGTACATTTGTAAATAAGTAGCATTGCTTTCATCAGCTTCGCAGGTTCCATGCATGGTGATCATCACCGTGCGATGTTGAGCATGGAGAACAGATGGACGTTGCACGTGCACCTTCCTCGCGCCCACAATGTCCGTTTTTTCCGTCAGCCGGCTCTGAAGCGATGTTCCAGACCACTGCGAATAGCAGAACGCGATCACGTGATGGTGCTAACACGGTGTCCACTGCCAGGAACAGGCTAGCCTCAATCCCGCTACAGCTGCAAGACAGACGGATTGTTCATATTTACTGCTCGAATTTACATAATTTGGGGTTTAGCGTGCGATCGTTATCGCTGGGACTCTTCGGCAATCCCTTCCTGCATGTCAAGTGTATACGGCAGCGGAACTTCTCTCACAGCTCGATACTATAATAACCGACGAGGTGTGAAACAGCTCAGAGAGTGTGTATGGATGTGCTTACCTGATCGATGTTACTGATGTGCTCGTTTTCGAGACGATCTGGCGAGGCTCAGACGTAAGCGCAAGCGAACCACTCGTTGAGAAGGACCGGTTACAAAAATTCCACTGCCACCGCCGAAAGATCTCCATCAGCCCAACCAAAAACGAGCGGAGCATCGGGTCTGGCCCCTGGACGGGGATATACAGGATCCACATGAACCGTATCACCGTGTTGATCATCTAGAGATCCGCCGCGGAGGTCAGATGCGAATCAGCTGGGCAAGGGCGCAGGGAAGCTGACGATTGCGGTGTAGTACAACTGCAGAAGTGGATTGAGTATGGGCAGCCGGATATTAGGCGGACCACGCACCGGAACGTGGTTCGAGTAGATCAGCTCGTTCCTCAGCAACCAGTGCCGACTGTGCCTTCGAAAGATAGACCAGTCCATCAAAAAGTCCTGCGAGCGGTTAGGTCAGCGTGTGTTACGCCTTGCCGACTGCATATGGATCCTCGGCCTACCCATGTGAGTGCGTAACTGGAATACAGCGATTGGAACAGACACCAAAAGGCGAACGACAGGTCGTATTTGCTGCCTGCACGAAATGGAGCGGCGCAAAAATGTGACCGAGAGCCGCTTACCTTTGTGACGCCAGAGAAAGTAGCACAGATAGCTGATAATTCCAGACCAGTACTTCCCGGCCTACATTTCCACGAGGAGGATCAGCATGTCGTTGCGGAGGGGAGACGGCTAACATTGATGAGATGCGTCGTGAGCTTCGAATCGGCGTAGCGCTTTATGCTCTGCACCATGCGGATGACGAAAGGCAGCACGGCGATTACGAAAGACAGCGGCCAGAGTTTCGACGTGCTTCCGCATTTTCGCCAGTCGGCATCAAGACTGCGCGCGTAAACACAGCTGACCAGAGGGATGTTCGATAACGTGAATTCCAGGCTCGTGAACTGGTCTCTGCATCTTGATCTTCAGAATTCCGAACGGCGTAGGACAGCTCTCGAAGCCTTACCCCATCCAAAAGTCCGTAAACTGGGTAGCATCAGTGGGCAGCATCATTCGAAACAAGAACCACGGAACCTCGACGCGCTTCAAGCCCGATTTGAGCAAGTTCGCAGTGCTTTTGACAAGCCAGTATCTGGAGGGCCTATACAGAAGGGGAAAAGGGTCGAACATCACGATCCCCGTGAACGCCAGCCAAACCAGTGGCCACGTCGCAGGTGCCACATGGGCATCTAAAATCCTGGAAAAGGAAAGCCAGAACGCATAGCAAAGGGCGGTGAGAAGGATGGCGGGAGTCTGAAAGTATTCGCGGTGGTCGAGACGCGTTCTCAGGTCTAGTTCTGATGGGTGCCGGCGTCTATAATTGATCGAAGAAAGCAGGCAAAGAACACGGACCGAAGATGAAAACGTAGTTGATCCGAGAATGCGCCCAGACAAGAAGATTCAGCCCTACCAGCAACGCAAAGATGGCGGGGATAGCCAAGACCCCGTAGATGAACATTAATCCGTCCCATCCGGGGATAGCGGCACGTGTATTTGGTTGAAAACCTGAGAACAGTTCAAAACGATGTGCTAGAGCGCAGAGACTCGACTATACGCACTATCAAATATTCCCGCTGCAACAGCAATCATCGCGGCTCCGAGAGCAAGGCCGGACTGGAACGTGCTTTTGTGATGGGTTTTCAGCTGGGTCCCAGCGTGAAGACGCGTGATGGCTTGGTTTTTGTTGCCGTTCACTGTGAAGAGGTGAGTTGATGGCCCCTGAGATCGCTGACCACCTTGCCAAAGTTGATGGCGTATAGGTTTTCGTCTTCCTGCATCATCGCGCGGAGATTGTCATCAGAATAGAATGCGGCCAGCTCGACCTGCGAAACTCCTGCGGTTAGGCAGTGGGCTAGGTTGGGAACGACACTCGCAACTGACCTTTCCTTCCATGTATGCTCTTTGGACGGAGATCTAAACACTTTCTAGCAGATCTGACTTTCTTGCAACGGCATCACGTACTTTCGTCGCCTTCTCAAATTTGATCAGCACTCTCCTGAAAGCATAGATGTTCAAAATCTGTTTTCGAGGTCAATCTCGATGGAGCTCGGGAGAGCGGCTGAAGGTACGTACCCGGTAGTTCTGCAGCATCTCCAAGCCCCTTGGATGGCGTGCATTCAATCACATGATCGATTAGAGTGGATTCGGTCAGCAGCTCACCGGTAATGCTCCAGGATTGCTTTCTTCCACTTGCGTTTGGCTTGGGGATATGCCTTGGGATCTCGCTGATCATCGCGCGCCCGACTCGTCTCGAAGGTCTTTACTTCTGTCTTGGCCTCGCGAGCCCCATCGTCGTCGTGGACGTGTCCATGCATTTTGCTGAGCGACTGGCGTCCTACTAGCTTCAGCAACGCAGAGATGCTGCCGCGCCAGAACGCAGGCCAGGAGCGCGGCGCGTCGGAGTTTTTATCCTATGACAATTCGATTCAGCCGAGATGTGCGCGGGATAGTAACCTCGCATAACACACAACAGATAATTTGCGGTGCTGGTTGAGCGCACGGAGTTGAGCCCCGAGATCTTTGGCGCGAACTTTCATTGCCCTCTCTTTCTCGATGAAGAAATTGTCGACTTTTTGAAGTTCGCTGTCAAGAGCGGTGAAGAAGGCCAGCTCCTGTGGAGATAGCAGTGGCATCAGCACATTCAGAGAGAGTTCCGAGTAGGGATCCCGGCGCAGCGGATCCACTCCGACAGAAATCAGTTATCTCTCCAGTATGAGATTTAAAGAGTGAACTTACTCAAATGAGAGATTCCCTTTCTGAGCCGACTGCCGACCGTGGATGGAGAAACCACTGGACTGGACGGCGCGGTGTCGCCCTTCCGAGCTTGTGAGTGGTTCGTCAGAACCCTGGACACTGCAATTCATCAATGCGAATGGTAGCCCTATGAGATCCCGAAACAAACTCATGTCAGCCCCGAGTCGCTTGGTGTCCATCCGGCCGTGCATTGTCGAGCCATCTCCGAGGGGACTTGGGGGCGCATGGTGCGAGCGATTAGTCGCCTGTCGAACAACTGCCAAAGATCCCATCAGCGATGCAATCAAAACGCATTCATCTTATCTTATCTCCAACGCGTACCTAGTTGTGGCAGGAGTATCCTGGGACTGACAGCGCGCTGCGCCGTTGTGGCTGGGAACTGAATTGCGCCACCAGGGCTGGGCGGAAGTGCGTCCCGATTGGTCTGAGATGTGGGCGAACGTGGCACGAACGGTGGCATGGGAGAGTCCACCTGCAGATGCAGCCGGCCTGCGGCGGCATTCGGTGGCGGGGAGACGCTGTCAACAGCACGTGCTCGCTGTGGCTGTGGTGATCCTGTGTTGGAAGCGAGATCGCCGAGCCGTCTATCGAGGGGCAGGTGGATCTCGCTCCCACCATACGAGGAGTTTCCCGCCGAGTCTACAAAGGAAAGCACGGAATGGTCGCTCTGCTGGGCCCAGCCGCCGATCGGTGAGTTTGAGGGACTTTCAATGCCAGGGAACGCGTGGTTCGATTCTTGGGCGCTCCGAATGTCACGAATGCGGTCTTTAAAAATACGGTAGTCCCTGGAACATTTCAATCAGACATCGAAGACGCGACAGAAATCAGGTCCACAGATAGGCCCGGGTCCATTCCGGGACTTGCGTGTCTTCTATATATCTGCTCGTGTGAGCCCGTTGAACTCGTTCAAAAATCGGAGATTTGATTACCTGGTGAACTTCATTATTGTGAGCAGGGGTGAGTCTTTTCGTTGTGAAATTGTCGTGCGGAACTCCTCGAGCTTTGTACTACCTGACCCGTGCACATGGTAAATCGCAGCAGAAGATAGGCTATAATTAGCAAGTTGGCAGAAGCTTTCACAGTCGCACGGCTGACTGTACCAAAACTCGCGCGCATGGCTCCGAACTCTAATGTCCTAGTCTACACATGTGCAGAGCCTCGTTGTTTACGCAGAGGAATCGCACGCCAATCACGTGAAGGGCTGCCCTCGTCGTCTCGATCCTGATCCCCTCGGTCCAGCAGGTAAGGAAGCGGGACTTCTCGCTGTCGCGCGCGGCCGAGTCAGCGTTGAACGGTCGAGGACCCGAAACACCACTCACCGTGACACGATACTGGTCGACGTTACCGAGAAACTCGTTCTCCACACGATCTGCGCTGAATTCAGGCCAATGGCAAATAGCACCGCACTGCAGGCCACTCACAAAAGTTCCACTGCCAGCGCCGAAGCATCTCAAATGAACCGGCGATAAAGGTGCGTAGCATCATGTCAGGCCCGCGCTTCGGGATATAGAACACCCAAATGAATCGGATGAGCGTGTTGGTAACCTATTCTTGTCAGAATGCTGCGCCAAAATTTAAACCCGGAATCACAATAGCAACATAATAGAGCTAGATTGTTGGATGAGCCGGGACAAAAACCAATGGGAAAACGCATACATAGATATGGTTCGTGTATATCAGCTCCTTTCTGAGTAATTTATAGGGCGTATCGAGGCGCATGATGGACCAATCCATCCATAAATCCTGCCCAACAATTGATCAGTTAACCAGCCCAACCGTGGCAATTCCCATACCCATGCCAAGGCATAAAATGAATAAAGAGCCTGGAAGATGCACCAAGCAATCAGGGCAGGCGTGCTTCCTGGAGGAGATGAACTGCTGACAAATTGACAGGAGGATTGTACCCACCTTGGTGCCGCCAGAGAAAGTAACAGAGATAGGCAATAATCCCAGAGAAGTATTTTCCACCCTTGGGTTGAGAGAGTTCAGCCGGACATGTGCTGCACTCCAAATCAAAAGCATGGACTCACATTAATTAAATGAGTCACCAGTCCAGAATCCACGAAACGCCTGAGACTTTGCACCAACCGCACGAGGAAGGGAAGGATCGCCAAAGCAAACTGCAGCGGCCAGAATCTCGATGAGGTCCCACATTTCCTCCACTGGGGACTGAATCCTTCGGCATACAGGCAGACAAAGAGGAACAGATTGGACAAAGTGAAGACCAGGCTGCAAAACTGATCCCTAGTAGACGGATCAACTCGGAGATCGAGAAAACATTGCTGGCGCGTTCTACTGACCCCATCCAGAAATCCGTGAACTATCCGATATTTAGCGAGATTCAGGCTTTTTAAGCGTGGCACTGACTTCGACGCGTCTGGACCCCGATGTCAAGAGTTTCCCCACGTTTCTCAACAGCCACAACCGAGACGAAAGGAAGAAGAGTGGCAGGGGAGCGAACAACATGACTGCTGTAAATCCCAGCCAGACGAGTGGCCATGTTGTCGGCGAAATGTGTGGGGCACCGATCCGAGCAAAGGACAGCCAGAATGCGTAGCACAGACCCGCTAAGATGATGCTCGGGAGCTGCGGATAACTGTAAGCATTCCTCGCACGAGAGGTCAGCATTGAACGAACCTGGAAATACTCTCGATGATCCATGCGGGTTCTTAGATCAAACTCTGTATCGCCGACTTCGAGTCATACTTGGATGCTGACTGATCGTACGCACCGAAGATGAACACATAATTGATCCTGCATTGGGCCCAAACAAGGATATTCAGTCCTACTAACAAGCCGAGCAGGACCGGAATGAGGAACACGCCGTAGATCATCAACAGCCCGTCCCATCCAGGTATTGCATCCCGCGTGCTCTGCTGGTAACCTGACAAGTCAAAAAACGAGTTTTGTCTGGACCAGGGCACGTACTGTGATACAGACCAGAGACCAGCGCTGGGACCGCTAGGCCGAGGAACAATCCGGACCAGAATGTGCTCACGTGGTGGCTTTTGTGCTGTGGTCCTAACCGCAATAGGTCAAGAGCCTTTTTACGATCTCCGCGGACTGAGAATTGTGAGTACGCTGGACAGCGAGTCTATCTGAGACTGCTCACCGAACCGACTGGCATACATGTCTTTGATCGTCTCCATCATCGACTGTACTGTCGTGTCTGCTGCGAACGTTGTGGGATCAACCTGTGGACAATGAGCTTCATAGCAACGCATTGGTTTGAGCAGAGACCTTCTCCCGCATGTACATATCTTGAGCAGCAATCTGACCAGCTCAATGAGCCATCATCCGCAAAAGGGCGACGTTACGAACCTGCGTCACCTTCTCAAACTTCTTCAAAGCCTTCCGGATGCCGGTGAGGTTGAGAACCTGATTAACGGGCCCGAATTCGTTCAAAGGGCGACATTGGAGGATGGGGTCCACATACTCGATAGTTGTAAAGCATCTCCAGGCCCCTGGGGAACTTCACAACGCAGAATCGGATCTGATAAGCCAACCTTACCGGTAGTGCTCCAACACAGCCTTCTTCAGTTGATGCCTCGCTTCATGAAAGTCATCTGGATCCAAGTCGTCGCGAGCATCAGGCAGCTCGGAGACGGAGTGGGCTTTCAGATGGTGGCGCGCTTTGCCCTTTGCTTTCAGAGCCGCATCCGGCAAAGGCAGGGACTCGGTCGATTCGGCGTGGTCTTCTGGGTCGCCTGGGTCTTTCGTGCTGGGCTTGAACTTGAGGAGAGCAGCGGTGTTGATCGCAGACGTCCATGCGGTAGAGCTGTGTGCGGTGGCCTGCAATGTGTACTTCGTAGGAATCTCAGCAGACGACAAACAGATCATACTCACGTCGAAGATCTTGCGGTGCTCATCCAGCCGTTCCAGTTGTCCTTCCAGCGCCTGTGTCCGCTCTTGCATAACTTTCTCACGCGAGATGAAGAACTTGTCGATCTTGACTACCTCCCCATCCAGTGTAGTGAAGAACGACCGTTCAAGGGCTGAGAGCAGACCAGATGAGTAGGGGCGGGGCTTGGATACAACTAGTACAGCAAGTAAGGGCCTCCACAAAAGTGGCAGCATATGACGCACAGACCTGTGAATCGACGCACGGGGGCCGGAGGACGAGGCGCTGTCGTTTGCGTGCTGCTCGGCTTGCGCGCCAACGCATGAGCAGTTGAACTCGTATCCGGAGTGTCGTCCTCTTCGAGGCACCACGTCCACATCCTCCGAAGGACGCGCCTGTCCTGCCTGATGGCCGGTCAATTCTTTCTGGCGCCGGATCTCCGTAATCTTCTTTTTGAGCAGCTTATAGTCGATGTAAGCGCGTTGCCATTCGGGCACCTGCGAAAGAGTGTACACATAGGTAGATCGGCAAGCAGAACTGCAATCTTATCTCACTTGTGTGTCCTCGAGATAACTGAGCCGCCGCATTAGAAAGCGGAGCAGAGGTCCCGGATTAAGACTCACCGAGCGAACTTCATGGTGTCGACAGTGCGTTAGTAAAGCAAGTAAGGACGGGAAGTTATAACTCGAGGGGTTCCGTGAAAGGCGAAGGGTATCAGGATGGTTGAAGCCAAGGAGCGAGCAGCGCTATGAAATGATCGCCATGTCGATCATTAGCAAAAATAGGTCGCATGCCACGTGGTGTTTTTGTGGACCTCAATTCACTCAATCCCTACGAGGGCTTGCGGTTTAGTTGCATTACAGCACCGGTGGGACCTCAGGATCTGACTTGGAGAGTTTAAAATTTTGCAAAAGAGAAAAGGCGCCATTGTAGAATCGTCCCACCTTTGAAAGCGTGATTGCAAAACTCAATTGTACTTGGTCCCGAGCATTCTCAAGACCCCAAAATGAGATAGTAGTGATTGCGTGGTAAGTAAGTAAAGTGTGATGGATGAAGACCAACGATGGCATTGCCATGCATTGTCAGAATTTACTTGCCAGGAGGCCCACCACGAGGCTGGCCCTGCCCCGGCCACCTCTGAAACCGTCACCGCGACCCCGCTGGCCATCACCCATCGGGCCTCCACCTCGCGGTCGGCTAGCTGGCCGTTCGCTGCGCTCTTTTCTTGTCTCGATCGAGATTCTGCAATGTGTCAGAAGTGCAAAAGAGAAACATCATTGGTGCACACCTGAACGTGCTGTCAGGCCCCATGTCGATCCAGAATCCTCCCTCACCACCCTGCGACTGAGGCAGAGAGGCCGCGATTGCTTTGCGTGCAGAATCCAGGCTCAAGAACTCGAAGAATGCACACGCTTTGTTGCGTACAATCTCCAGATCTTTGAGTGGGCCAAAGCGATTTGTCAGCTGGGTCTGCAGAGCATTGATCGTCACTGGCTCGAGAACACCCTTGACGAAACATTGGGCCGTCGTCACACTCATTGCCGCAGCATAACTGGGATGCTGCTGCGGCTGACCCTGTCGTTGGACCGGGGCCGGGGACTGCTGTTGTTGAACTGGAGGCTGAGCAGGAGCGGGAATCTGCACTGTAGCCGGCGCGATCTCGGATGTCCCTCGAGAGTCCACAGCAACGGTCGATCCCCACTTTTTCGGGTTCGCAGCGGCAAGGTTTGCCCACGAACGCGGTTGGGCGGGTACGGGAGCGGGAGCCGGTGGGGTGCAGCTACGGGAGGAGGCGCTTGCACTGGTGCCGGCGCTGGTGCCGGGGTCGGTGCTGGGACTGCTGCCGGGGCCGGCGCAGGTGCCGGGGGGGGGCGTCACTGCTTTCGGTTGCGAAATCTCAACAGGCGCTCGGCAAACAGGAGGCTCTCAACAGCGGGCGGAGGAGTAGGTTCGCGAGGAGTGGGCTCTCTGGGGCAGGCTCGACGCGACGGGCGCGGACCACCGGGTTCGACAGCAGCGCATGCTCGACAACGGAAACGGACGCGTGCTCCGGCTCGACGA